AGATAAAACCATGAAACTTTATATTTAAGCACTTGATAAAAAAAAATAAAACATTTGTTCTAGCGTTTTTGAAATTTAGACTCACTATGTCGATTTTTAAGAATAATTATTACGATTTATCTGAAAACCTGAAAACGGATATCTGACAGGTAACAACCTAATGATTTGTAATTGTTATGGCGTCCTACTTTCATAATATATTTTGGCATCAACATATAAAAATGAAGTTCTGTGGGTTTTCAAGGAATAATATTAGTATTCAGCTGCATCAGGGATCAGGGATTTTAAAGACAAAATACGAATTCAATTGACTGAATACAATTTATTCATAGACTCTGTCTGCGGCTTCTCTCGCGTTCTTTTAATGGGGTGAGGGAAGGATTTACAACAAAAAAATGAAATGATGCACGATTCTATGCTGGTCACAAATAACCCGCATATCAATTGTTAGCTTTCCACATTGAAAATTGCAAAATACCCCATACAAACTTTCACCTCTGTTTCACGGAAGTGGAAAGGGGTTAGAAAAAGACAAAAAGTAGCCTATGATACTCTCCATCTTTTCAACTATCTCAAATCAAAAACCTTCCTGACTCCGTTCTGTTATGAAATACGGACAAACAAACAAACAAGCACATACAAATTCATGTTATTAGTATACATTTAAAGTCTTAAGTCATCTGACATTTGTGTGACAAGTGAGTTTACAAAGTCAATGTGTCATAGATTTTTTTTATACTATGGTATTAATATTAAGGTATGCAAAGAGGTTGACAGCAGTCTAAGGAGATAAAACCACGAATAAAATATTTTCAGTTTACTTGAATTCGTATTTTTTATATGTATATCAAAAAAACTAGCTAAATGCACATAGCTAAAAAATAATATTAGTCCTTTTCATTTTAGACCGTCAAGGCCAAATTCACTATGATAGTTTGCTGTTTGTTTATGGCATAAGCCGGTAAACGAGCAGACGGATCACCTGATGGTAAGCAATCTGCGCCGCCCATGGACACCTGTAACACCAGAAGTGCTAGAAGTGCGTTACCGGTCTTTTGGGAATTGGTAATTTGAGGATTGTCAGGGATTGGGGGGGCTGGGGGGCGGAGGGGTAATTGGGCCTCCGGTCCTCACTTACACAGCGAAACACTCCTTTAGGTAACCGAGGGCTGGGCTCGCTGTCATTGCAGCGGAAAGTCCCCTCTTTAAAAGTGGCTTTAAAGAGGCCATCAATGCAAGAACCGCCCGGAGAACACGGTGGAGCATACCGTGGTGGTGTACCTTGCATGGGCTGAGCACCGCCGTGTTCTCAGGGATGTAGGAAACGGTGACCTCTCGCGTTCGGCTCTGGTTCAGGCCATGGAGCGAGGGGGATTGGGATGCAGTTGCATCCTTCTGCGAAGCAGTTATGCTTGCCAAGGAGAAAGCGGAGCGCGTGAGGGAATGAACTTCCTCACGCCCCAACCGTCGCGGGAGACACTCTGGGCGTCGGAGATCGGCCGGCCACCGGCCACCGTAAGTGCGGGTCTGTAGACGAAGAGCAAGGGTAGCTCGCCACCCGACCAGATCCAGTCCCGTGCATACGGCGCGCGCCTTACAGAGCCATGACACCATCATAGATGGAGCCCAGTAGGGCTGATGCTCGATACGGTGCCGCGGGAGGCCTAACGAGTTGACGGGGCTCCGGCTCGACGAGCAGGAGTAGGAACGGAGTGGATTTTAGTCAGTAAGAATCTGTCACTCCCTCTCACCTAACCCAAGGCGGGAGAAGTGATTGGACGATTTTCCGACCTCAAAAAAAAATCTCCTTTAGGTAATGACAACCCGATGTGTGAAAAACTACCAAAAAAACTCTTTATATTATTGGTATTGATTACGCTGTGGAAATTATGGACAATAGAGCCAAGGGATGTATTAAGTCCTATAGAGGACATTAATATCAACATTAAAGTACATGTATCATATGTAACCTAATATCAGAATACCTATTTTTTCATTTAAATGTTTGCGATAGTAATGCACGTCGCACCGGTACATATCAGGTCACATTATAGGAGAGAGGAAATCCCAAAATGATGGAAACTATGCGCTAATAAACCAGGACCAAGGACGTTGAAATAAAGACGCTCTTACCTTTTAAACCATTGAACCTATTTGGTGAAATTCGGTACAGCGATAGTTTGAGACCCGGGAAAGGACATCTAAAAGTTTTTAACCCGAAAAACCCACGAAACCGGGAACTGTGCTGTTAAAATCACTATATCTATTTGATTAAAATGCGATACAACATTGATTTGCAAACATAGAATAGTGAAACCTCACGAGACGGGCACTGTACGGGTAAAACCTCTATGGGATTGTTTATTTTAGAAACCACGAAAACAAATTCATTTCTCAATAAATATAACCTAGGTACTGAATCGATTGTGATGATATTTGTTCCAGTTGTACAGCCGTAGAATATACCTTGACAAAGACTAATTTAAAAAACCCAATTTATACAGAAGTCGTTATTTCACGCGGACGAAGTCGCGGGTAACAGCTAGTAAAGTATAATCATACCAAGTTTCATCGTAGTCGCACTGGTAGTTTTTGCGTGGTGGATAAATATACAGACAGACAGAAAAAAAATTAATTAAATTTTTTGGGTTCGGTGTTAGTCTATTACACCCCCTACTAATTGTTTTTTTTTATATTTTCAATGTACACAATTTACACTTCTATAGTTTTATTATATGTATAGATGTATAGATTGTGTCTCATATCGGTGCATTCAAGAGATTAAACAGTTAATATTAATCATAATTATAAGAAACACTTCATAAATAAATAAAAATCTTCCTGCAACAAACGTTATCGGAATAAAAAAATAACAAAAAACACCCAAATATATATTAAAATGAGTCAGTGGTTGGGCATATAACGGGTTTATGATTGCTCATTGGTTTATTTATATATACTACCTAACGTTATGATAAATATGTCAAAAACTAAAATAAAATACGAGAGTATTTATTAAGAACTAGTTTTTCTTCTGTGGCTTCCTTAAATTCTAAGAGAGCATAAGGTCTGAGGCCTTTGTACGAGATTGTTTTACGTTAAAAGTAGTTAATCGAAACGAGACTGCCTTTGGCGGTTCGATTGGTTAGTTCATTGGAGCCGGCCAATCAAAGCGCCGAACGCGTACTCATTCCAATTACTTTAAACTTGAAACAAACTTGTTGCTATTACAAATCGAACAAATAGCGAAAATTTTCCTACTAGAATACCGTGATCTAGTCTAACCAAAGATCCATATTAAAGAACAAAGGAAAGGTTTTCCCAATTACTCACGTAAAAGGTAGTTTTGTTACTTAAACATTAAATACTGGGTATTTTGTACACCAATTAAAACTATTAGATCTTATACTTAATTGTGATAAATCACGATAACTCCGCCTTGATTCTGATATGGATCACGCAATCACAATTACCTTTAGTCGACGTCATAATAAAAGTATCATTCAATCACATTTTCTATGATGACATCACGACATGGAATAAATATATGAAAGTTCATATAATAAAACTAAAAAGATTAAAACTATTGGTCGTCATCAATTTTTTCTATTATCGTTTTATCCAGAGAAACTTTTGACTAAATCTTAAAGTTAAATCAGGTGAAAACTACGTAAATATTACGTAAAAACGGTGTTAAACTACGAAGTTATTTCCCTAAATTTTTAACAGCAGACAAGATAAGAAATAGGAAAACCAGAGCGTTAAATTTATGGGGGTAAAGTTTTGTTTTATGTAAACTGAAAGTGCGGTCAAATGCCTACAAAATAAGACGCAAATTAATTATCACCGTGTTTATTTTTAGCAAGCACCTGTACTTAGAATGTTCAAAGTTATTTTTATAAGTTATCATACATTAGAATTTGAATTTGGAAAACGTTATCTGCGGTCTAAGATGTTGTCGTATAAAAGGGCATACAAATGACCGTAAAATTATCCTTGACTTAACATTGATCTAGATCACAAAACAATATTAGTCTGTTAGCGATTCTGAATAAATATTTCGTAGATGTTTTCGTAGAAGAACCTAGAGGTGTTTAATTACTTATACTGTTGTGTACTCTGAAACGATTCCGTGGAAGTATAGTTCAATATAAAAATATCATTGTTGACTAAACAAATCTTACATCACTGTGTATTGACGCCAGTAACAAAGTGTATTTCAACACAATGGTCGTGTTTATATGCGAAATCATGAATTTATTACTCATAATCATTATGGTAAATGTACCATCATGATTAGGAGTAATTAGGATGCATTCGCTAAGAAAATATTAAATAATAAGATTTATTTCTTTTTTTTATACTTTATTACACAAAGAAATAGTTTACAATGTAACAGTAATTCGAGTACAATAGGCGGTCTTATGACACGCGGCAATTTCTTTCGCGAGACAATCTTAGGATGATTTTTTTTAAAATGAATCTGGGAAAGGGTATTTTATGCACAATAATGTATCACTGGCTTTTTGGCTGTTTAGACCTGTTCTGATGTAGGGATCCTTTCTAAACAAACGTAGTGTAGGATGCTCTCCAGCTAGGTGGCTAGTAACTATTGGATCCAAAGTGTTCAAGATCGAACTCAGTGGCGTACTTAGCAGACGGATCACCTGATGGTAAGCAATCGGCGTCGCCCATGGACACTCGCAACATTAGAGGCGTTACAACTGCGTTACCGGCGTTTTGGGGATTAGGAATTTGAGGATTGTTGGGGATTCAGGGCTCACTCATACGAGGAAACACAACGCCAGCGTTGTTTCACGTCGGTTTGCTGCTCGGCCGAGGTATCACTCCGGTCGAACCGACCCAATCGTGCCGAAGCATGGCTCTCTCACTTAAAAGATACTTATGTCAAAAGATAGGTAGGAAGCTAAAAGGTGATATAGATAACTTTTCGTTTGGTAAAGCTGCAAAAGGATAGTTACAAAATAAAAATGCAGGCGCTCGATTAATTACCAATAATTTATTTATTGCACTATACTAGAGCTTATTTATTATAATTATGTATTTCACAAGCCTTGATATTCATTATGTTTGATATCTTTATTGTAAAAGTGTAAAACAACGACAACACTATCAATTTACAAAAGGAGGTTGTCTATATTTGAGATTTTTGATCTGAAGCTAAGGGCGCCATCGTTGTCTTACCAAATTCTAGTCTGCTTTGTTCTAATTGTACTCACTTAATCGAAAAAAATAAACTAAACTGTCACTATGTTATCCTTATTCTATAAAATAATTTATTGCTTCAGTTTTCTGAGTTCCAGTTCGTATTTGACAGTGTATTTGGACTCGGGGTCATATTTAGCCTTGAGACGGTTCCAGGACTCCTGCTCATTGTTGATGATGTGGCCCAGGACCCTACGGGTTCCACTGCGCTGAGTATCGGTACATTTAGCACAGTTCTGTTCTAAAGCCTCCCTGATGTGAGCTGGAAAAGAAATAGAATTTGCTGTAGAACATTTTGAAGACATAACTTCTTCTGGTCGAAGAATAAAATTTGTGTATTAAATATCATTTTGGTCCAAACCAACGATATGAATGTGCAAAACTTTATGGTCAATGCTTTTAAAAATTTTAACGGATTGATTCATATTTAAAAAATATAAAAATCCTGTTTTATGTGAGTACTTAAAATGAGTTTAAACAGATACCGGTTTCTGCCTTTTCCTATATTATTTACATTTGGTTACAATTTAATAACAAATATAGAGATTAACTGATCAATAAACTAGTTGTTCTAAAATAGTACGTGTTCAGAGAACCATGCTTAACATTAACATTATTTTAACTGAAGTACCTAAACATGGTAATCACTAAGTTCATGTTTCGTATATGGATTAATAACCCTATATAAAAGGGTCCGTTACACCAGCCTAATTCTAAGGACCTGTTTCAAAATGTCTAGCCACAATGTGTCAAATACATTTGGCTTTAGAACATATTTTTATGAATTATGTTTTATAAGTTTATCGGAAACTTGGAACATAATATAATGTACAAAACTACTTACATTTCAGTTCCTTGCCATCAGCAGTGCACTTGCCCTCTTCGAGGATGCACTTAATGTAAGGCATCAGGAGACGACGGTTACCAAGGATCTCATCCAGATTGACATTGTCGTATCTGTCGGTGTAAGTGCTACCATTAGGCTTGGCCAGAGCCACCGCAGCCAGACCGAACAAGCACAAAACTATGAAGGATTTCATTCTGTAACAAAAACAATTAAAATTTTTAAAAATGAACATTTAAAACTTATAAAAATGAACAATTAAAACTTTTAAAAATTAACTTGACCGCTCTCTAAAATAGATAGAGTTTTTAAAAATGAAGTTGATAATATCTATTCCATTCTATTCAGAGTGAATCACAATTGTGAAATAAGAACTGTAACTATGAAATAATATAAGGAAAATGTCATTTAATCACGCAATATCGTCTGTAATATTATGGATTCCATTGATCATATTTTATCAGTAAGGTTTTTAATTATAACAAGAAGACTATTTTTAAATTTGCGTGCAAAATAGATGCTATTTCAGTAAATAATCAAGTACTATGTATTTCGTAGAATTAATTTTTAATTTACATTTTACCTTAACAGTGATTTGATAAAAAGAATTATCCATTTTGATGTAGTCGTTCGAAAGGTAAGCATGTATGAACGACGGTTTGACGATTATTTTTTACTTAATTCGATAAATAATAATACTGGAGAAGAGATAGATATTAATAGAAATATAATAATAATAAAACCGGTGAGGAAGCCGGTGCTCTCAGTCAGATGGTCTTCATTATTCATGTACACCTTGACCGCTTAAATGACAATGACCTGCACGCAAATGGTAATCTTATCCTTGTCGCACAAAATCATATTTAGGTATAAGTAAATTGAAAAATTCATAAAAACATAATTTCGCAATCAATCTTTACTGCCAATTTACTAGATTTTATGACAGGATAGATGAAACTTAATAAATAGATTATCATAAATAGATTATCATAAAAATAGTTCTTCAAAATGTTTGTACGCATAAAACTCTTGAACGACTGCACTAAATCTATTAATTGTTTTTTGTTATAATTTTGTTTTGGTGAAGACACGTAAGTGTGAAATATAAAAATATCAAATTCAAATCGGGAAAGCCAAGAGCCACTCTAATAACTAAAAATACACTGAGATATTTGAATGCACGAGTAACCTATGGAGTTTTTTGCTCTTTCTTCTCCATAGAAATCTACACCTTGGAATGAGCAAATACGTTCACTATTATTTTTTGTTGACGTTCTAAAGTGCCTTTTTGGTCTAATTGAAATAAATGATTTTGACTTTTGACACTTCCAGTAACTCCCAAATGACTGTGAGTCGATTTGTTACATCGATTTTTTATTACAAAGGTAAAGAGTTAAAGGCACAAACAATATCCAAAAATAATACAACAAACAATTATCCAAGTGAAATGGCAGATAACTTTGTAAGTTTAATTCGACCCTCATTCCCTTTTTGTAATATAAAAAAAAATCCTTTCTATTACAAAAGGCAAGATCGTTTGCCGATAATGTTTTATGAACTGACCTACCTTTGATCGTGTTTTCCTGAGGAGTACTGCCCAACAGCTCAGCAGAGGGTTTAATAATTCACTGTCCACTCTTCCTCCACTTTTTATACTGAACACATAGCGTTTTGGTTGAACAACAAAACTAGTTTTGGTCTCTATGCCTATCATTCGAGGAATATGTTTCGTCACACTATCAATAAACATCGGAAAACGTGCGAACGAGTTCTTTTTTTTGGCGTCTATCTTAAAAACATAAATATTAAATTGTACGTAAACCATTTTTAATAACACCTTCTGGGGATAAAGTTCGTTAGAAAAAATTGTTACCACTCCATAAGGCGATAATTCCTTTTTTATAGTTCCCTTACGCGCATTCAATAAATAATGTAAGATTTGAGAAAAATATTCGATTTTTTAATGGTTATTTTAGGAACATTTTAAAAGTTTCCAATATCATTCACTATATTAAAATCTTCATTTTAATTTTCAGACCTTTTTGTTTCCCTCTGCTACCTTCATAAATAAGCACTTAATTAAAACTTATCTCAATAACCTGTCGTTACCTATCGCTCCGTAGATTTAACTACAGAGACTGAATTTTGGCGCTAGCTCGATACAAAACATAAGTATCCTAATTAGTCGAAGTAATTGAGACTAATTTTTAGCCCCTGCACCAGTTCTTTTTGTATATATAAGAGACCTGACTCAACATTTTAGGCCTTTCTTTGGGAACGAAATAAAGAAGTTTTCACCACTATATTAATGATAAGCGATCGATGAATTAGACATTATACCCCTTAACATAGCTTTGCAATAAATATTCCAGAAATGTAACTAGGTATTTCATAAACATAAATATTTAGCATATATCTAAGAAATCTAAGAATATTGCATAGTCAGTAACGTGTCTTTGAGATATATTTGCTCTTATCCTTTACTAAGAAACGTGTGGAACCAGTTTCTAATGGATTAGTAAGTGCGAACAAACACTCGCCTGCTAACAGGCGTGACATGTTCCTAAGTGTTTTAACTTCAATTGCAAAACAAGTACAAAGACCAGTATAATGTAAGATAGAACTGTAGTATCTAATTGGGAGATATGATCATGAGCAGTCGTGTGTCGCGACAGAGTAGAATATTTTCGTAACCACCCCTCTTACCTCGGGTATCGGAAAACTAAAAAACTGTATAAGTCATCGCACAGCTAACAAGCACGGCGCCGGCACGGCTCCAACCCATCAGTCATTGTCATTTAAATATGAACCTTAAATCGTACGTCGTATGACACACTTCATAACGTCAATAGAAAAACCTTTTTGTATTGTTTCCTAAAGAAAAAACGTCGTACTGGAGCCGTGCTTATAAGCCGCAGCCGTGTTTGGTAAGTGAGTGATGTACTTAACACTCCTCTACATAAAAGGGGTTGCCATTTTTACGTTTGGAGTCGGCAGGCAGGTTTGAAGATCGCATATGGGTGCATCCAAATTCTTATCAAGAATCAGTATCTACATGTAGTTCCTACGAAATATGTTCAGTTCAATCAGACAAGGTAGGAATCAGAAGAAAAATATGTTTAGTAATATTATTATTTCATTTAAGAACTTCTAAGGAGATGAAGTACTCTTGGTATATAGGTCCGATTTATCAATGCTCATAATGAAATTTTATCAGAGGAATAACTTTGAATATTTGATAATTCTTCTTCATACTTATTTCTGTCAAATGTCAATTTTATTACACAGTTAAGTATTAAACTGATAATTGAAAAACCGGCCCTTAATATTTTTATTATACACTAGCTTCTGCCAGCGGCTTCGCCCGCGATCCCAGGGGTAAAATGCCTATGTATCACTTCAGGCCATAATCTACCTCTGTTCCGAATTCCATTCTGGTCCCTTCAGTCGGTTTAATATGACTGAGTAACAAACATACACATAAACTCACATATTTTCATTTATAATAAGCTCAAATCAACATCAAGTCAAGCTAAAATCAACCATTGGCCTTTCAGTTACAGCGTAAAGTCTATGAATGAGTATTGTAAACGTTAGAGTAGACAAATACAATCAGAAATCACCGAGTTGCTTGGCTATCGGGAGTTTCACGTGTTATTGTGAGTCAACCATAAAAGATAGACATATGCTCTCCAGGAATATTTTTTATATAATTTTAAGGAGAATATTTCCGTCATACATGATTTCTATGCAGCTTTAACCTATAAGCCTGCACACGCGACGGAAGCTTAAAAAATGGAGTAACTTCTCCCGTTTTCCCAATATTTCCCTTCACTGCTCTGCTCCTATTGATCGTAGCGTAATGAAAAGTATACTATAACCTGCCCAAGAGTATGAAGAATAATTGTGCCAAATTTCGTTAAAATCCATCGAGTAGTTTTTGTTTCCATAACGAACATACAGACAGACAGACAGACAGACAAAAATTTTACTGATTGCATTTTTGGCATCAGTAGCGATCCCTAACCACCCCTTGATAGTTATTTTTTAAATATATTTTATGTACAGAATTTACCTCTCTACAGATTTATTATAAGTATAGATTAAAGAAAAATTTGTACAGAGCAGTTCCTTAAACTATCATCAGTGATGAGCATTTCGTTCAACAGGCCATTGAACTGTTTGACTGCGTTAAAACCCGCAACAGCCACGTGCATTGCAGAATCTATTTATATTTCAACGTGATAGTAGGTATAATATTAATTCATGATCGGTACAATGACGTACGTGAAATAAGCGGGTGATTGACCTCCAGGCTTTCTTCCTACATTATTGACAGCATTGCTGATGTAGGTACTCGATAAAACGATTTCAAAAAAAAATTACCCAAAGTATTGGGTGGAAGGCAAAAACTTAAACTGGTCTTGTTAGATGCTCCAATAAATTATCGCAACTCTAGAGTTACCTTCGACAATCTTATAGGTATAATATAAGGTATCAAAATCATTGATTGGAATTCATTCAATATAGTAATATCGTTGTCTAGAGACTAGTGGTGTTACTATACTTGAGCAATGTGGGATAGTTCATTTTTCTTTAAAAAGTTAATATTTCCCCAAAGATTAAGTTAAAAATAACAGGTACTTATTTTATTATTTTTACCTAAGTAAGAATACCTATTAAAAACAGAGATGTGACAAAACTATTAAAATTGTTTCTTAAAAGATGCAACCAATACTTTTTTAACAATAAAACCTTCAAAACGAGATCTCGAAACGCAACTAATTAAAATTAACATAGCAAAACGGCGTGGCCTGTGATCCAGTTTACTAAATGGCCGAGAACAATGACAAATATGTTCATCTCATCGCGTTTATCAGGTCTAGGTCAGGAGGCGACTATTGTCTCGATACAGTTGCGTAATCGATACAAAATTATAGCTATACTAGCCTCTTCTCTAGGTCGTAAAAACGAAGCGGTTCTGACATCAGTGACGTCAGCGTGACATGTTTTGATCTCAGAAATCTTAACTCGCTAATTCACTACTGAGTATTAATGACGGCAGTTGGATTAACCATAAACTTTGAAACGTATTCAGAGTCGGATTGTCCACGGAACATGCAATGGGCCCCGCGCAAAAGGGGCCCCGTGCTATCAAATTCGTCTCGATCTTCGAGTACTTACTTTTTAATGTAA